AGTCTTGATAATGCCGGTCTGAACTTTGTCATGAATAAAGTGACAATCGAGTTCAATGTGTTTAGTACGCTCATGGAAGACTGGATTAGCTGCAATATGTAGAGCAGCTTTGTTGTCACAGAAAAGCAAAGCAGGTTGGGGGTGAGAAATCTGAAAGTCAACATGCAAAGCAAGAAGCCAAGTGAGTTCACAAGCGGTCGTGGCCATGGTTTTATATTCTGCTTCTGCAGAATACCGAGAAACAGTAACTTGCTTCTTGGACTTCCAAGAGATAAGGGAGTCTCCAAGAAAAATGCAAAATCCAGTGACAGATTTGTGAGAATTAGGACAACCTGCCCAATTTGCATCACAAAATCCTTTAAGATAACGCAGAAGTAGCAGAGAAGAATAGACCTTGAGCAAGAGAGGTCTTGAGATAATGCAGAACCCAAGAGGCTGCATCAAGATGAGGTTGCTTAGGCTGATCCATGAACTGACTGGGCACTGGAACAACATAGGAACTGTCAGGACGAGTAAGAGTGAGATACAATAATCTTCCTACCATTCGTCTATAGATAAAAGGATCTGTTAAAGCTGGACCATCATCTCTATGAGGCTTTAAATGTGGTTCCATAGGAGACTTAGCTGGTTTAGAACCAAGAAGACCAGAATCTTGTAGAACTTCAAGTGCAAATTTCCTTTGACAAATAAAAATCCCTTTGGAAGATCTAGCTATTTCCAGGCCTAAAAAAAACTTTAGGTTGTCAAGATCTTTGATGTGAAACTTCCTGTTAAGAAAAAGCTTAACATCATTAGCTGCAAGAAGATCATCAGTGGCAATAACAATGTCATCAACATAGACTAATAATGCCCGGTAACTTGAACCAGTTGACTTGGTAAAGAGAGAATAATCTGACTTGGATTGTGAGAAGCCATAAGAGAGAAGAGCAGTAGACAGCTTGAAGAACCATTGTCTAGAAGCTTGATTAAGGCCAGAAAGAGACTTATGTAGCAAACAAACTTGATTGTTCCTCTGTCGATCATAACCAGGAGGGAACTTCATATATACTTTTTCATCTAAGTCTCCATGAAAAAAAGCAGTGTGAACATTCATTTGGAACAAATGACACCACTTGATGGTAGCAACTACTAGGAGACATCGGATAGTAGAAAATTTGGCCACAAGAGAAAATGTTTCTAGATAATCCAAACCTTCTTGCTGTGTATATCCTTTAGCCACAAGCCTTGCTTTATGACGTTTGATGGTCCCATCTACTTTATATTTGATTTTGTAGACCCATTTACAACCTATTGGTTGTTTTCCTAGAGGAAAAGTAGTGATAGTCCAAGTGTTATTGGACTCAAGAGCTTGAATCTCAGCCTTCATTGTCTCACACAAGTTAGGAGATTTAACAACTTCATGAAAATATTGTGATTCTTGATGACAAGAGATTGTTAGACTAAAGATGCAAGGTGGAGAGGATAATTTGTGATAGGACAAAAATTGAGAAAGAGCATGAGAAGTACCTGTAGACTGCGTGGAACAAGTAACTAGGGAGGATGAATGAGATGTGTGAGAAGCAAGAATATTGCAGTGGTAATCTTACAAGTAACTAGGAGTCTTCCTTGGTCTAATTAAATGTCTAGTGGTATTGGGAATAGAAATGATGTCAGAAGAATAAGAAGGTACTGTATCAGAAATAGGAGAAGAAGAAACTTTATCAGAAGTGGAAGTAGGTGGTGCTGACAAATCATTGTCAGAAATGATAGAAGGCAAAACCAATGATTTTGCATCAGAGGAAAGCTTTATGTTCTGCAGTGAGAAAGGAAAAATAGTTTCATAGAAGATGACATTTCTGGACAAAAAAATTGAATGAGTTTGGAGATCAAACAGTTTATAGGCTTTGCTAGCTGATGCATAGCCAATGAAAACACATTGCTTGGCTCTAGAATCAAATTTGGATCTATATCTTTTAAGAGTTGAAGCATAACATAAACAACCAAAGATTCTTAAATGAGAATATGAAGGTTTGTGAGAAAATAGAACCTTAAATGGTTACTTTCCAAAAAGAAAAATAAATTGGAATTCTGTTAATGAGATAAGCAACAGTTAAAACACAATCACCCCAAAAAGAAATTGGAAGATTTGCTTGAAAATGAAGTGCTCTAGCTACTTTCAAAAGGTGTTGATGTTTTCTTTCCCCAACCTCATTTTGTTGTGGTGTGTCAACACAACTCAATTGATGAATAATGCCTTTAGAAGAAAAGAAAGCAGTCATGACAAATTCTTGACCATTGTCAGATCGGATAACTTTGATTTTGGTATTAAATTGAGTTTCTATGAGAGCATCAAAAGACATTATCAAAGACTATGTTTCAGATTTAGTTTTCATGAGATAAACCCAAGTACACCTAGTAAAATCATCAACAGTTGTAAGAAAGTAATGTGCTCCATTTATAGAAGGAGTAAGATAAGGTCCCCAAATGTCATAGTGGATGATTTCAAAAGGTACAGATGTTTTACTAGTGCTGATCGGAAAAGACAATCTATTCTGCTTAGCATAATGACTTGCTACAATGAATATCACTAGAATTTGAAATTTCAGGGACTATTCTTTGTAAAGAATCTAGTCTTTGTTGAGATAAGTGTCCCAATCGAAAATGCCATAGATGTGAAGATACATCTATGTTGCATTGAATAGAATAAACAGTAGAAACTTTCCGTGGTTGTGTTGTTTGCAGAAAATACAATCTTCTATTTTCTTTACCCACCCCAATCGTCCTCCATGTTAACAGGTCCTGTATGAAGGAATGACCATGAAGAAATAGAAAATAACAAGAAATTTGTTGTGTCAGTTTGCTAGTGAAAAGAAGATTGTATTTGAAAGAAGGCACACAAAGGACATTAGTCAATATAAGGGAATCAAAAAATTTAACTATGCCTGTATGAGTTACCGCAACAAAACTTCCATCAAGCAACTTGACAGAGGTGTGTAGAACAGAAGACACAGTGGATAAAGAGGATATAGAGCAAACAATATGATCTGTTGCTCTAGTGTCAATTATCCATGGGGATGAAGAAAAATAAGAAGAATCATGACTCGAAGAATGCAAGGTATTTTGAACTTCACCTAACATGTTGAAAGGAGAATCAACATGAGAATTTGTTACTTGATTTGCTGAGGGTGGATCATGAAGATGAGGTTGTGACTTAAGGAGAGTTAATACTTGTTGAATTTGCTCGTGTTATTGGCAAAGATGAAGAAACCTCTCTGTTGCCTTCATTTATAACCAAATTTTTTGTTTCATCCTGCCACCTGATTTATAGATCTGAAATTGTTCTTTCCTTTTGTAAATTGAAATCCAGGAGGATAGTCATGGAGTTTGTAACATTTGTCAATAGTGTGACCTTGAATTCCACAATGAGTACAAATAGGTCTAGATTTGTTGGAGTTTGATTTGCCAAAATTCTATTGATTGGATGAATTGGATTTGCTCAAGAGAGCTGTAGAATCTGCAATAGGAAGACTTGAGAAGACTATCTCTCTCTGTCGTTCCTCTTGAAGAATGAGAGAAAACACTTTGTTGATAGATGAAAGAGGATCTTGCATCAAGATCTGACTTCGGATGTGAGAGTATAAATCATTCATTCCCATCAAGAATTGAATTATGTAATCTTGTTGTTGAATATCTGCCAAGGTTTTTAGAGCACCACAGATTGGCAAGGGTCTGTAGTTCATCAATTCATCCCAAAAGCCTTTGAACTGAGTATAATAAGAACTTATAGAGAGTTGTTCTTGTTGAAGAGAGGAAATCGATTTCTACAACTGATAGATCCTTGGTTCATTAGTCTGAGAGAACCTTTACGTGAGTTCTTTCCAGATTTCTTGTGCAGAATTGACATGAACACTCCTAGCAATCTCCTTTGACAATGTGTTGAGAATCCAAGATATCACCATATTGTTGCATCTAATCCATGGATTATACAAAGGATCCTTTGGATCTGTTGGCTTGGAAGATATGCCATCAATGAATCCAACTTTGTTCTTAGCACTCAATGCTATAAACATTGATCGACTCCAAGAATTATAATTGTCTCCAGTCAAAGCTTGAGAGACTAACAAGGCACCTGGACTATCTCCATGATGAAGATAAAAAGGATGAGAGAAATCCTCAATCGAAGTTGAGGAATTGGATTGTGGACTTGTGATAGATGAATTTGAAGAATTTGATGCCATTGGAGAAGCAAATAATAGAGGAAGCTTACTAAAAGACTCTGATACTATGTTAGAAAATGAAGAATGTAGAGATCACTGAGAAAGAGGGAGAGAGATAGAGATGAAGAGAAAACATCATCCTCATTGAATTGAAAGAGACGATTACAGCCAGTATTTATATACAAAAAGACTGAATTAAATATCTAACAAACTTTTGTAACTAATCTAACTAATTCTTGTTCCTTCTTCTGTTGTTAGCTGCTACGATTGCCTCTGCTTTGTTCTGCTATATTCTTCAATAAGAATTGAATTTCGTAAGCTATAGGACTGCTATGAAGAAGTAAGTGCTCATGTGTGCTCATGTGTGTGTCTCAAAGCTAAAGTATTAGTATTGTGGTTATGTAGAGAATTGCATTTTTTTAAGTTATAGGACTACTACTTATGAAGACGTGTACGTGTGTGTGTGTGTGTGTGTTAGTGCTAAAGTATTAGTATTTTGGTTATGTGAGAGAATTGAATTTTTTAAGTTATAGGACTACTACTTATGAAGACGTGAGTGCTCATATATAAGAATGTGTTTGTGTCTCAGAGCTAAAGTATTAGTATTGTAGTTATGTGAGAGAATTGAATTTTTGAACTTCTAGGACTACTACTTATGAAGAACTGAGTGCTCATATATAAGAGTGTGTGCGTGGGCACGATAGAGCTAATGTATCAGTATGGTCGTGTAGTGGGAGAGAATTGAAATTTTTTGATAATAGGACCACTACTTTAACTGTGCAGTTGGTGGGATTGGCGAGGGTAATGATAAAACTCAGTAGGAAGGTAGAAGGCTTAGATAGTGCGGTTGATATTGTTGGGACAGGTGGTGATGGTGCCAACACAGTCAACATTTCAACGGGTGCTGCGATACTTGCGGCTGCTTGTGGTGCAAAAGTTGCGAAGGTGAGATTTTCTTCATTTATTTATCATTCATTTATGGATAGATAATTATTTTTCGTTGTAAAATGGATAATTTGAGGAAATTATAGTGATCGAGGTGTGTTCATTGCAGCAAGGGAATAGGTCGAGTTCGTCTGCTTGTGGAAGTGCCGATGTATTGGAAGAATTGGGTGTTGTAATTGACTTGGAGCCTGAGGTTTGTGCTATTTGTGAAGTCACTTATTATCTGTTGAATTATTTATTTGACAAATTTATATGTGCAAATGAGTTTTGTTTGCACTTTAGCAGTTTTCTTTGATGGGAGAACCTTGGATTAAATATGAATAAATTAATGAAAATGTCAAAACAATGCTGAATTTACATTTTGACAGCTCTCTAATTTAGATGACATGTCTGAAGAAAGTCTGTTTTCTTGAGAATTTCATGTTAACAGGTTGATTTACTGTGGAGGTATGTTAGCTTAGGGTTATGTGTGTAGCATGCAAGTCTATAACATCGGTAACTAGTGAGCGTTGAAATTGCACAATTACCAAATCTAACCTGCATGGAAGTGGAGATATTGATTTGTTTGCTTTCCAATTAAGTTCTACGCCAAGGACACCGAATGAAACCATCCAGTATTCATGGAGACTGCATTTTGTACAATTTCCAGTTCTTTTAATTCTACTGGTGTATGCGAAGGGTACATCTTTTTTGACGCTTGCATGTCAAAGAGCAAGCACCTGTACTTTAACTTGACAACTTATCAAGGAACAAATACCATTAGTCAAATACCGTAACAATGAGAATTGGTACTCATGTATGAACGTAACAAGTGTAACTTTTAACATGTATCTTTGAGATGATATTTTTTGTTCTATCATGTGATGAGGTAAGACTTGTATTGTACATTTTGTCTTTTTCAAATTACAGTGTGAAAAAAGAAAGGGCCAAGTGTTTGTGAATTTCTTCTAGTCCCCC